CTCCCAAGTAGCTAGGACTGTATAGGTGCCTATATCGGCTGAATTTTTTTTTTAAGAGACGGGGTCTCACTATGTTGCCCAGGGGTGTCTCGCACTCCTGGCCTCAAGTGATCCTTCCACCTTGGCTTTCCAAAGTGCTGGGATTACAAGCATGAGCCACTGTGCCTGGCCTAGATACTTAATACTAAGGAATTGACAGTTTATATGTGACGTTGCTACTATAGTCACGTGTGTTTTAAGAACCTTTATCTTACAAAGAAACATACTAAAATATTACAGATGTAATGAGGTCTGGGGTTTGCTTCAAAACGGAGGGCGGTGGAGGGCAAGGAAGGTGGTAGGTAATGGATAAAATAAGAATGACTGTAAGTTTATTTTTCTTCTCTGCTGTTTGAATCAGCAAGTATGGCCATAAGTTGATTATTGTACCTGGTAAAATAGAAAATTACCAGCTAACATGGGTAAATCCTATTACTCTCTCCCAGAAAATTGACAAATTTATGTAAAGCTACCCCAGAGGATTCACCCTGCCCCACAGGTCTCTTCAGTCCTGACAGATATCAGTGGCAGTCAAATGTGTCACTTTTAACTGAGCAACACAAGAGGTTCACCTCTTACCCAGTTTGCATCCAACCTGTGAAATAAGATCTAGAAAACAGGAATTAAAGTGTATGTTCAACTAACTCACATTCTGACTAGGTGCTAACGTTTAATGGGAACTGATATAGATGAAACCAAGATTGCTCCATAACGGATGTAGCAAACCAAATATACAGCAGAGGAAGCCACAGGCAAACCACTGAGTTCTCTCTCAGCCTGCTGATTCCGACCACCCACCCACCCACTCTTCTCCACCCAGCTTCAGAGGGAAGCAATTAAAAATAAAAGCAGCCTTTACCCAAGAACTTACTAAAGAGCACCTGAGCTCAGAACCAAGTTAGCTCAGTGAACAGTCCCTTTAACATGTCCAGACCATGATTATTGTGATTACTGTAGTGAAGAATGATAAGCCGGAAGCTTTGAATGACCTTTGGTCATTAGACTGTATTTAGCTGAAGCAAAAAAAAAGTTACTACCTTTTCAAACATTCATGAAAAATATGGCTTAGATCCAAAAGGCTTCATTTACCAAGAATATTTCAATCTTTGCTATACTACACAGTAAAATAGTATATTTGCTTTAAAGTACATAAACTCAGGTGACAAAGATCCAGACACTGTAGAATTTCAAACTTACCTTCTCTATCTTGCTGCCTTTTTACATATATTAGAATGTTTATTTAGATTTTGAGGACAACTAATTACACCTAGTATATGATATTTTTCACAACTACTTGACAAAGTATTACCTGTTAGCAAAGCTGATTTCTCCAGTCTCAAGCAAACCAATTATAGCCATTTCCTAGCCTAGCATGTCAGAATATTTCATAACGTGACTGCCTTGAAAACAAAGATGGTGAACTTTGATTATGTTGCTCCATTGCTGCTTCTCTGACTTAAAGGCCATCAGTTTGACTTCTTGCTGAAAAAGCAATAGAACACCACAATCAGGTTTACTTATTCACTCAACAATCATTTATTGTTTCTGTGTGCAAGGCACTGTGTTAGGTGCCAAGAACAGAAGAAGATACAAATATGAATAGGCATACTCTGCCCTCCAGGAACGTACAATCTAAGAGAGATTAATTGCATACAAATAACTATAATACCAGCTAGAATGTGGTAAGTGCCACGGGAAATACTACTATGGGAAGCTTTCTTAGCTCTTAGCTTCAAAGACCAGGTCAGGTTTTGTTCTACTGTAGTCTGTGTGGCAGGCATGAAAAGGCAGCTGAGGGGACCTGCTAGGCTTTGATGAACTGAGCTGCATCTTGCTTCCTCTGCTCTCTCAGCTGAGGTTACGGTGATTAGCAAGGGCGGTTGCTACCACTGACAGGATAGAAGGAAAAAGGCAAGGGAAAATGATACGTACTAAAAAGATGCACATAGGAGTACTCGATAGTAGTCTATGGACTGGGCCCTGGGTACTGCCATGGGGAAGAGGAGTGGTAAGGGAGAAAGAACACTGGACTAAGCATCAGGATTCAGATGTTCATAGTCACAACACCTTGAGCAATCTCTAGACCTCAGTTTGTCTTTGGGATGAGGGAGTTAGGCAAAATGATCTCTAAGGTCCTCTACAACTCTCCAATCAATGAAAAGGGGAGAAAATTGATAGCATCTTAACCATGGCTTTTTTAAGTCAGTGCTTTTATCCCCCTTTCATTATTTGTAGAAGCGCCCCTAAAAAAATTTTTTTTTAGCTGGGCGTGGTGGCTCACACCAGTAATCCCAACACTTTGGGAGGCTGAGGCAGGAGAATCGCTTGAGGCCAGTAATTTGATACCAGCCTAGGCAACATAGCAAGACCTCTGTCTCTACAAAAAATGTTTTAAAAATTCGCTGGGCATGGTGGTGTGCACCTAGTCCCAGCTACTTGGGAGGCTGAGGCAGGAGGATTGCTTGAGTCCAGGAGTTCAAGGCTGCAGTGTGCCATGATTGCGCCAGTGCACTCTAGCCTGGGGGACAGGGCAAGACCCTGTCTCTAATTAAAAAAAAAAAAAAAAAATTTTAAACTACATTAATCCCCCACTTTCCTGGCTTTGATAGACAAGCAATACAAGAAGGGTTTTTGGGCCGGGTGTGGTGGCTCAAGCCTGTAATCCCAGCACTTTGGGAGGCCGAGACGGGCAGATCACTAGGTCAGGAGATCGAGATCATCCTGGCTAACACGGTGAAACCCCGTCTCTACTAAAAAAAATACAAAAAACTAGCCAGGCGAGGTGGCGGGCACCTGTAGTCCCAACTACTCAGGAGGCTGAGGCAGGAGAATGGCGTAAACCCGGGAGGCGGAGCTTGCAGTGAGCTGCGATCCGGCCACTCTGCACTCCAAGCCTGGGCGACAGAGCCAGACTCCGTCTCAAAAAAAAAAAAAAAAAAGGGTTTTTGTTTTTAACCACAGTTGTTTCAGAAGTAAGGAGCTTCTGACTTTTGTTACAAACATGGCACCTTTCTGATTCACTTAGCCTCAGCAACTTATGCCTGACGTACTGTAAACTGACAGCCAAAGGCTCTCTCAACTGCATGGGTCACTATTTTGATAACTGAGAATATCTGAATGAGAAGGTGAAACATTTTGGTCAAAAGTCCTCTACATGGCCGGGTGCAGTGGCTCACGCCTGTAATCCCAGCACTTTGGGAGACCAAAGCAGGCAGATCATTTGAGGTTGGGAGTTTGAGACCAGCCTGGCCAACATGGTGAAACCCCGTCTCTACTAAAAATACAAAAATTAGCCAGGAGTAGCTAGCTGCAATTCCAGCTACTTGGGAGGCTGAGGCAGGAGAATCGCTTGAACTCAGAAAGCAGAGGTTGCAGTCAGCTGAGATCACACCACTGCACTCCAGCCTGGGCGACACAGCGGGACCCCATCTCAAAAAAAAAAAAAAAAAGATCTCTACCACCTTTGAGTTGAAGTTTGTCTCTCAGTTGCGAGGATTTAAGTTCTCCAACAGCTTCGTTGCTTTAAAAAGCTTGAGCAGAACATGAAGAGGCACAGGAAGTTAGGAGGAAAGGCAGAGTGAAGGGACTATTTTCTAAGCAAAAGCTGCCTCAGAGGGAAAAGATATGAAAAAGAGATGCAAGAAAAGTAATGTCTGTTACACACCTTCTTGGCCCTGTGCCTGACAGAGACAGAAATATAAGATTACCACAAGGAGCAATTTCTATGACCCCCAAAGAGCCCAAAAGAGCCAAGTTCACTTTGCCTACCATTTCACCGTTACTTTTGTGTATTGCCATGGCACTACTTCCAGCCTTGAAACATGGTCTGTCTGTACAGGGAGTTTGGCTTAGTAGCTCCTTTGCTTCTGCCAAGGCTAGACCTAGTCCAGGACTAAAGGGACATGCAACCTTTAATCTTTTGGGGACCACACGCCCTGTTTAGCTACCCAATTATATCTCAACTAGAGTGAATAACACCTTTGGATTCTCCCACTGAACAGTCATGTTTTGCCCAAATGCCAGTGCTTAAGATAGCAACATTAAAGCACAAACTAGGACTGAGGATAAATTGCCAGGTTTATTTTACCCCGTAAGAGCTGGCAAACAGCTGAGGAGGTGAACTCCTCTCCCAACTGCAAGAGTTTACAATATAGCTCCAAGGAACACAGTTTGGTTGCGTATTGCTATGTCCATGAAATGGCTTGTATTTGGTCTCCCAACTCACAACGTGGTCAGTGCAGAAGGATAGAAGGGTTAATCTGGTACCACGTGGCGCACCAAAAGGCTCAATTTCACAGACAGTGAATGACTTGACTACTCCTGCTTCCAACCTGATTGGCATCTTCTACCCAAACACATTGAAATACATTATCAGGGAGATCAAATACAATTGGAAAAACTACAATACGAAAACCAGACTGGCAAGAGCCAGTGGGGATTTTCTGGGTTTGGGGGTGATTATGGAGGTAGTGGCTTTTAAATGAAAGCTCTTGACAAAATATTTCCTTTCTATCAGCAGGAACTACATTGTACCTGGGGAAAATGGCTTATAAGGTTTCACAAATTGTACAAAGAAATATATATATTTTGAAATGCCATTTTCTGTTGACATTCTTGTGAAAAGACTTTTAGCTGACAGTCTCATAAATCTTTAAACCATATTAAATGAAGTTGCCACAACACAGGCAAAAAGGGTAATTAAATTTTTCTTCTTCTGTCCAGATCAACAGTGTTCTTTGTACTCTAACTTTTCAGTAGACCTAAAGGGCACCTTTCTTTGCTCGCTCATCTCTTCAGTTTGCCCTTTAAAGTGTGTTCTTTATTTCTTTGGCATGCAAAGCTGGGATGGCAGTCCCGTTCCTACATACAAATAACCACCTTCGACATACAGATGATGAAAAACACCTTCAAGTGTTGGCGTTCAGGCTAAAGTTGAGAACTAGAAATCTACAGAAACTCAATTCATAGTTTTCAAATACTTTATATGGTAAAAATACAGCAAAAATAGTTTTTTGTTCAAAGAGGAAAATATATACTGCTATGGTCACGGTTCTAAGGATGATTTAAGAAGTCTCTGGCTCCTCAACTGTGCACTGTAGTGTAGGCTGACTTCAACCACGGCTTCTCCAGCTTCAGTCATTTATCAAAGCTAAGATCATACTGTGGAAAGAAGAAATTAATGTTACTAATGTTTTCACAGGAATGTTCCTCCAGAGCCTAGTTTGTCCAGACTTGCATCCCTAAGGTCCATGAAGGAACAATCATTTGAGTAAAAGACAATCATTCATACCCAAAGGAAAGAATATATCAGGATCTTTCATGTCCAAACTTTTTCACTAAAAAAGAGTGACTGGGGGTGGGGAGTTAGGGGAAGTATAACTTAAAACCTATGTTAGGCTATAGTTTAAAAAAAAAACAAAAAACAAACAAACAAAAACCTAGCTCAGTTAAAAAAAAACAACAAAACAAAACAAAAAAAACACCTATGTCCAGAAAAAAAATTCTAAATTCTCCAGCCAGATACATACTGTCCTATGCCAACGCCTGGAACCTCTTCTCCCCATCCCAACACTCCATCAAAGTAGTAACTTCTTACTCAGGTTTTGTGACTAGCTCTAGGGCACCTCGCTAGGGAAGCTGGCCTCTCAGCCCAGGGCAGTTGCACAGCCTCCTTCCACAGCTCTTCTTCCTGCTGCTATGGCTTACATGTTGTCTCTACCACTGGACTGTGAGCAACTCTAAGATGAGAGCAGGGCCCAAGCATCACCACTTTCATGTTCTACTAGCACCTGAGCCTGCAATGACCAAGCTCCAAGCTTTTACTGTAGGGATTCTGTGCTGCTCCTTTGTGTCACTTGCAATGCTGTACACAATGTCTGACACACGGCAGCCACCTAATAAATGCTACGCCACTAACACTGACAGTTAACAATAACAAAACCATCCTTTCCTTTGAAATACTGGGATCAGCCTTGCTCTGCTGAAATCAAAATACACAGAAATATCCTTACATCACTAATGGTATAAACAATTGTCCAAACTCAACCATACTAAATGTACTCAATGCACGGTAAAAATTAATGATAGTAGCTAATATTTTTAAAAGATTTTTGAGAGTTTACTATGGGTCAGCATAAACCTAAGTGTCTCACATGTATTATCTCACTTAGTCCACATTAAAATGTGATGATGTAGGTACTATTTTTTTTTTTTTGAGACGGAGTCTTGCTCCCAGCTAATTTTTGTATTTTTAGTAGAGACGGGGTTTCACCGTGTTAGCAGGATGGTTTTGATCTCCTGACCTTGTAATCCGCCCGCCTTGGCCTCTCAAAGTGCTGGGATTATAGGCATGAGCCACCGTACCCAGCCTTTTTTTTTGGAGACGAAGTCTCGCTCTGTCGCCCAGGCTGGAGTACAGTGGCGTGATCTTGGCTCACTGCAAGCTCCGCCTCCTGGGTTCATGCCATTCTCCTGCCTCAGCCTCCTGAGTAACTGGAGCTACAGGCACCTGCCACCACTCGCGTCTAATTTTTTTATTTTTTGTAGAGATGGGATTTCACCGTGTTAGCCAGGATGGTCTCAATCTCCTGACCTCGTGATCCACCCTTCTCGGCCTCCCAAAGTGCTGGGATTACAGGCGTGAGCCACCGCGCCCGGCCCTGTGATGAGGTAGGTAGTATTAATATCATTAATATCCCCCTTTCAGATCAGAAACTGAGGCTCAGAGAGGTTAAGAAACTTGCCCCAGGCCAGGTGTGGTGGCCCAGGCCTGTAATCCTAGCATTTTGGGAGGCCAAGGCAGGTGGATCACCTGACCAACATGGTGAAACCCCAGATCTACTAAAGATACAAAAATTAGCTGGACATGGTGGAGTACACCTATAACCCCAGTTATGCAGGAGGCTGAAGCAGGAGAATCCCTGGAATCCGGGAGGTGGAGGCTGCAGTGAGCTGAGATCTTGCCACTGCACTCCAGCCTGGGGGACAGAGTGAGACTACGCCTCAAAAGAAAAAAAAAGAAAGAAAGAAAAGAAACTTGCCCCAGGCCACAATGTAAGTGATGGAGCCCACATTCCACTAGGCTAGCACCCAATCAAAAAACCAAAAGCATGGATTCCCCTATTCTCTAAAGAAGATGAGCATTTTTTCAAAACTTTAATTGCATTCAACAAGCCCTGAAATGTCAACTAGGCGTAAGGAATTAGGCAGAGTGTGGTAGGTGTTAGATACAAAGACAAGTAGCATAAAATCTCTGCAATCAAAAGCTAATGACTTGGTATTAACAGCAAAACCACTGTTTAAAAACAGCAACCAAAAACCAAGAGAAAAGTGCTACAAGGATACCTTCTGACCCTTTGAACTATATGTAACACCAAAGGGTAAGGTAATAGCAATGTGGCTGAAAATAACAGGCTAATAGGGAAAGGAAAGGAAGAGAAGAGAGAAAAGAAAACGGTACAGCCAGTGAAGTACACACCTGCCCAGGCAAAACAGTTACATGAGTTGCCTATCTTTTATTTAGTTATAAAGAACAGTATCTTAAACCTGCCCCAAAATTACATCTTAATTCCTCCAGTCCAACTCTCCACTACTTTAAATTCAATGACTAAGAGTTCAGAAACTCATATACATTTTTAAATCCTAAGACTTTTGAGTCTACGAAGCAAGATACTGCTCTCCAAGCCTAAATTTCCTCCCCAAAGTATGACTACATGGGCTGTACCTACAGCACCGCCCCTAGGGGATGCCTTTTCTAGTTTACTTTCCAACAGCATGAAACCGCAGAGGTGGGGAGGATGAAAAAAGGATAACCTTAGCTAAGCCAATACCAGCTTGTTTTTTGTCTCTTCAGAAACAAATATAAGAGAACATATATGACAGTAAAGATACAAAAGTATTAAAAGCAAGAACAGGTGCCTCATTATGTTCTCATAAACTTTTTTTGCTCCTTATTCATCATCTTTGATACTTGGATTAAAAACTAAGCATATTAGTAATGAGGTAGGGTATGAGAACCAGAAACTGATACCAGTGTGCTTTTTCTGATCTAGTTTTTAAAATACAGAAAAGCAAATAAGACGAATGGTGAAAAGAAAACTATGTAAACTCCAATTTTAATCTAATCCACTAATGGGTGGATTTAGCACAGTGAAGGAATTTTAGGAAGCCTGCTTTGTCAGGAAGAGGCTAAAATGGTTCTGACTTCTAAACTATTTCAAACAAAATAACAATTTTTAAAAACTGCTATCTCAGCCGGGCATGGTGGCTCATGTCCTGAAACCCCGTCTCTACTAAAAATACAAAAAAAAAAAAAAAAAATTAGCCAGGTATGGTGGCACATATCTGTAGTCCCAGCTCCTTGGGAGGCTGAGGCAGGAGAATCGCTTGAACCTGGGGGGCAGAGGTTGCAGTGAGCTGAGATTGCACCACTGCGCTCCAGCCTGCGTGACACAGCGAGACTCTGCCTCGAAAAACAAAACAAAACAAAGAAAACAAACGAAAAAATTGCTATCTCTATGCAGTTTCTAATCAAGAATTTTCTGAGTGGTAGAAATTTACTTCAACATTAAATTTTTCCTAATAGTCCTTATGCCTGTGTGAAAAATTAAACTCTACCAAGGGGGAAAAATAAAAATGATCTAATTAAAGCTTTCATACAAAGGTTAAGCCTGACTTCTAGCTTTTCAAAGGTTTAATCAAATCATATACACAGGAATTTTGTTTCTCCTTTGCTCTATTCTAGGCATCTATGATGGATAAAGGAAAAGGTGGCATGTTCACCTCTAAAACATACAGAAATAATTTAAAACAGGACTATATAAGGTTTCCAGTGTCTGACAGCCAATCTTTCATATTAATTCTTACTTCCAGTATGTTATAACTAGAAGACTGATAAAACTTTACCATAACAGACCATTTAGCATGCTGGAGAATGAGCATCACACCTAAATTACTTATTGCCAAGACAGATCAGCACAATTTGGATAAAAGTTGCTGAGAGCTGCTGCTAGTGGTATGATTCCCCAAAGACCACGAGTGGGATGGTCGCTGAGGCACATATATTAATGCTTATAACAGGCAGTGGAACTCCACAGCTGTATTCTACTAGGGCAGGAAAAAAATATCAAAGACAGTTTTTTTTTGAGATGGAGTTTCACTCTTGTTGCCTAGGTTGGAGTGCAATGGTGCATTCTCGGCTCACCACAACATTTGCTTCCCAGGTTGAACTGAGTCTCCTGCCTCAGTCTCCCGAGTAGCTGGGATTACAGGCACCCGCCACAACGCTCAGCTAATTTTGTATTTTTAGTAGAGACAGGCTTCTCCATGTTGGTCAGGCTGGTCTCGAACTCCTGACCTCAGGTGATCTGCCTGCCTGGGACTCCCAAAGTGCTGGGATTACAGGCATGAGCCACCGTGCCCAGTTTTAAGCATATTGATAGCCTCAACAGCTAAGGCATAACTAAGATGCCACAGGGCAGATCTACTGTAGTTCAGACAGAAAGCTGATTCAATGACATACATAAATAATCTACACAGCCACAAGGAATTTACATAATCCCCAAAAGTTCCACAATGTCAATGCACAATCCTATAGTATAGTAATATCTCACCCTTCAAAAGCAAATATTACATCTAGGAAAATACTAGGATTTTAAACTCACCTATAAAGATACATGAAGAAGCAGAGCAAGTGGAATCCAAGCTTGATCATGGCTTCCTTCATGTGTGACTTCAGCTGCCCTCGATTGTGTATTTCTGTTGGATCAAACACTCCCATGTTACCACTCGGCACCATAATGTATCTGATAAATTAAAGGACACACACATTAGAAGGAAAATCAAATCACAGGCATAAGTATTCAAATATAAGTAGCCAATAATAATCGACTTTTAAAAGTGAACCAGTCAGGCCCGGTACTGTGGCTCATGCCTGTAATCCCAGCAATTTGGGAGGCCGAGGCAGGTGGATCACTTGAGCTCAGGAGTTCAAAGACCAGCCTGGCCAACATGGTGAAACCCTGTCTCTACTAAAAATACAAAAATTAGCTGGGCATGGTGGTGGGCACCTGAAATCCCAGCTATTGGAGAAGCTGAGGCAGGAGAATCACCTGAACCCGGAAGGCAGAGGTTGCAGTGAGCCAAGATTGCACCACTGAGCCCCAGCCTGGGTGACAGAGCATAGCAACCTTACATTCATACCACATACGGACAGAGTAGTATGATAATGTCATGGGCTGCCACTTAGCTTCCTTTTGAAAGTTACAATACTGCTAATTTTGTGCCCTCTAAAATAAATACAGTAACATTCCAGGGGTATTTTATGCACTGAAACCCTTTTACTCATCTGTAGAAAACTACCATACCAGTCATATCTACAGCCCTTTTCCATTAGACAAAGGTTAAAGGAGGCTCCAAACCCAAACCAATTTTATTAAGTTCTTAGAAACTTCATTATGGAAACAGGGAAATTAAGGAAGTTAGGTTACTTTGAGAGGATCAATCAGTTTAAGTGTCTGGGCTTCAACATCCAGACTGTGTCATCTGTGTAACATATATGTCCTAACCTAGCACTGTCCATGAATTCTTCCTGCTCTCACGTCTAAGCTTCTTCTAGTACAACCTTAGATATCTCACTTGTCACATAGCTCCTCAATTATCACTTCTTTGAAATGCAAAGGATTCTCTGAGTTCCACAAATCTGAAATTCTCCTTAAAACCCCAGTAGCCCAACTATAGCTGAATAGAAGGTATTTTCATTTGAATATCCAGATAACATCTCATCCTTGTCTAATTTCTAGGTTATCTAATAAGAGTGTCACCATTTTCTTGGTGGTCCTTAAAAACTTCCTCTTACCCAACTGGGACTTCTCTCTTCATCTTTCACAGCCAGTCCATCAAACCCTTGTCCAGTCTTTCTTCCTACCACCACTTACTTAGCTGTCTCCTTTTTTTTCCTTTTTAGATTTTTGTTTTATTTTTAATTTTTGTGGGTACATAGTAGGTACATATATTTATGGGTTAACATGAGATATTTTGATACAGACATGCAATGTGTAATAATACCATCAGGGTAAGGCCAGGCACAGTGGCTCACGACTGTAATCCCAGCACTTTGGGAGGCCAAGGCGGGAGGATCGCCTGAGGTTGAGAGTTCGAGACCAACCTGACCAACATGGAGAAATCCCATCTCTACTAAAAATACAAAATTAGCCAGGCATGGTGGCGCATGCCTGTAATCCCACAGCCTCTGCAACCCGGAAGGGAGAGGTTGCAATGAGGCAAGATTGCAGCATCGCACTCCAGCCTGGGCAACAAGAGCAAAACTCCGTCTCAAAAAAAAAAAAATCACACTAGGGTAAATGGGGTATCCACTACCTCAAGCATTTATCCTTTGTGTTACAAACAATCCAATTATACTTTTTTCAGTTTATTATATTATTTTTAGACATAATCTCACTCTATTGCCCAGGCTGGAGTGCAGTGGCACGATCTCGGCTCACCGCGACCTCCTCCTCCTGGATTCAAGCAATTCTCCTGCCTCAGCCTCCTGAGTAGCTGGGATTACAGGTGCCCAACACCACCACACCTGGCTAATTTTTGTATTTTTAGTAGAGATGGGGTCTCCCCATGTTGGCCAAGATGGTCCTGAACTCCTGACCTCAGGTGATCCTCCCACCTCGGCCTCCCAAAGTGCTGGGATTACAGGAGTGAGCCACTGCACTCACCTCTAAAACACACAGGAATAATTTAAAATAGGATTATATAAGGTTTCCAGTGTCTGACAGCCAATCTTTCATATTAATTCTTACTTCCAGTGTGTTATAACTAGAAGACTGATAAAACTTTACCATAACAGACCATTTAGCATGCTGGAGAATGAGCATCACACCTAAATTACTTATTGCCAAGACAGATCAGCACAATTTGGATAAAAGTTGCTGAGAGCTGTTGCTAGTGGTATGATTCCCCAAAGAACACGAGTGGGATGGTCGCTGAGGCACATATATTAATGCTTATAACAGGCAGTGGAACTCCACAGCTGCATTCTACTAGGGCAGGAAAAAAATATCAAAGACAGTTTTTGATTTTTTTTATATCCATCAAAAAAAAAAAAAAAAAGGATACACACAATAAAAAGTGTTGGCAAGGATGTAGAGAAAATGGAACCCCCAATACACAGTTTGTGGGAATGTCAAATAGTGCAGCTATGGCTGGGCACAGTGGCTCACGCCTGTAATCCCAACACTTTGGGTGGCTGAGGTGGGAGGATCGCTTGAGCCCAGGAGGTTGAGGCTGTAGTAATCCAAGATCACGCCACTGCACTCCAGCCTGGGCAATAGAGTAAGACTTTGTCTCAAAAAAAAAAAAAAAAAAAAAGTGCAGCTGCTTCTGAAAACACTCAGGCAGTTCTTCAAAAGGGTAAATATAGAGTTACTATATGACTCAAGTGATTCCACTTCCTAGGTATTTTGCCTCTTTGTCCTGTGGACTACTGTACTTTATCTCCAACAGCATAAAGTACAGTGGTCTGAAAATAGCAATTAATCAATCTGTTGATTTTTTAAATCTTTTTAAATAGGAGGTAAACTTGTGACCAGCAGACAGCCAACCTGTCACTGCAGTTACCAGGGCAATAAATATATATGATCTTTGTCTTTACAATTATATCAAAAAAAGAATCTTCGGTGTTTTGTTTTGTTTTTTTTTTTTTTGAGACTGGCTCTCGCTCTGTTGCCCAGGCTGGAGTGCAGTGGTGCAATCTCGGCTCACTGCAACCTCCGCCTCCCAGGTTCAAGCAGTTCTCCTGCCTCGGCCCCCCAAGTAGCTGGGACTACAAGCACATGCCACCACACCCGGCTAATTTTTGTATTTTTAGTAGAGATGCGGTTTCGCCATGTTAGCCAGGCTGGTCTCGAACTCCTGACCTCAGGTGATCCACCCACCTCAGGCTCTTAAAGTGCTGGGATTATAGGCGTAGGCCACCATGCCCGGCCTAAAAAAAGAATCTTTGGACTTGACTTCATAGAGCCTTTTACCACTATCTACAAAGAAGCCATGCCAAAGCTGGCTCTTCTAGCAGGTTTTCATTTCTAGTAGAGATGACTGACAGGATGGGCTGGTATAACATTAAGATCCACATTCTCAAAGGTTCAAGTTCCCATTCTCACTCCCAAAGTTGTGTTTCACTTAGTGAAACTACAGGGAGACTTAGCTGTGCTAAAAGTCTGCCTGGGACTAGCCCTCAGCAGAAGTGCAAGTAATCTGTGTTCCCAGCTCAGAGCTCACTTGAGGGCATTGGTCTGTGGAACTGATCATGGGAGAGTACTATTAAGCCTGAAAGAGGCCAGGCGCAGTGGTGTGCACCTGTAGTCCCAACTACTCAGAAGGCTGACATAGGAAGATCGCTTTAGCCCAGGAGTTCAAGGCTGTAGTGCACTATATCACGCCTGTGAACAGCCATTGCATTCCAGCCTGAGCAACATAGCAAGACTTCATCTCTTAAAAAGAAAAAAAAAAATTCAGAACCCATGTTCAGTATATTAAAAAAAGAAAAAGAAAACAAAAAATTCTACCCCAGGATACCCACCCTCTATAAAAGAGACACAGATACTTTAAAGCTTTTCCCTTACTCAGATTCTAGTTTCACACCTTTATAAAATCATTCCCCCATATCCACTCCTTCCCTCATCTCTACTGCTGCCATTATCTTTTCATATGCATCCTATCTTCCTCCAAACCCTACTTTATTTTTTCCTATGTTCTTTTTATTCTAACTGCACTTTACAACATCATACTTAAAAATCAGCCAATGAATGGTTCTGTCCCAAAAAACTAGACATAAATAAAAATAAATAAAACCTAAAAATGTAGTAAAGCAGCAACCCACTAATATAACAATTGCAGGCTTGTCAAGATTATCCCAGCGGTCTTCACAAGAAAGTATGCTACGTATAACAGCCCAACTGTAAAATTATATACAGTCAGGGTTTCCATTGAGCTCACTTTGAACAAACTTCCTAAATTTATTAAGTCAAAAATTTTGATTAGTTACCTAATTTGCAGCTTTTTTTTTTTTTTTTTTGAGACAGTGTCTTGCTCTGTCACCCAGGCTGGTTGCAGTGGCCTGATCTCAGCTCACTTCAAGCTCCACCTCCCGGGTTCATGCTATTCTCCTGCCTCAACATCCCAAGTAGCTGGGACCACAGGCGCACGCCACCACACCCAGTTAATTTTTTTTGTTGTATTTTTAGTAGAGATGGGGTTTCACCGTGTTTGCCAGGATGGTCTCAATCTCCTGACCTCGTGATCTGCCCACCTCAGCCTCCCAAAGTGGTAGGATTACAGGCGTGAGCCACTGTGCCCAGCCCTAATTTGCAGCGTTTAAATGTACTTCCAGCCCAGCACTGTGACTCATGCCTGTAATCCCAGCACTTTGGGAGACAGAGGTGGGAGGATCACTTGAGACCAGCCTGACCAACACAGTGAAACCCTGACTACTAAAAATACAAAAATTAGCCAGGCATTGTGGCAGGCACCTGAATCCTAGCTACTCAGGAGGCTGAGGCAGGAGAATGGCTTGAACCTGGGAGGCAGAGGTTGTGGTGAGCTGAAATCAAGCCACTGCACTCCAGCCTGGGTGACAGAGTGAGACTCCATCTCCAACAATAACAACAAGAAAGCTATTAAACACCTTTTTTTGGGACACACCTATAAATAATCTCAGCACTTTGGGAAGCTGAGGCAGGAGGATCACTTAGGTCAGGAGTTCAAGACCAGCCTGGCCAACATGGTTAAACCCTGTCTCTAGTAAAAATACAAAAATTAGCCAGGTGTGGTGGTGCACGCCTGTAGTCCCAGCTATTCGGGAGGCTGAAGTAGGAGAATCGCTTGAACTGAGGAGGCAGAAATTGCAGTGAGCTGAGATTGCACCACTGCACTCCAGCCTGGGTAATAGAGTAAGATCCTGTCTTGAAAAAAAAAAAAAACATCTTTTTAAAAATTTTTTTAACTGCCTTAACACCAAACTAAAATTGTACTCACCGATACATATTCCAAGTGGCAACAGGTAAGTTGAGAAGGAAAATGAACCAGTGCAATGAAATGAGCATTAATACAGTGACAATGGTATGGCCAATCAATTCTGGAATTACCCACTGCAATAAAAGAACACGGTATTACATCTCACTGCTATGTCCTTCCTGACTATACAATGTTATTTGAAACTAAATCAATGAACGTACAGAGAATTTACAAGCTACTGTTTCAAGATTATTTTTAGACTCACAAGTCCCAGATTTGCATACTGCTATAACTTTGTATCCCATGCAAATACATCAGGGCACAGCTTAAAAATAAAGCACTTAAATTTCAATTACTTTTTATCCTAAGCAAAGGCTTAGGTTCATTCATTAAGCAGGTTTGAATGAGAACTAGAGAAAAAGTAGAGTACTGTTTACTTCCCATTCTAGTATCTATGCCAAAGCCCCTAGCTCTAATTTAGGATGGTTGATAGCCATACACATGTTGCCTTTCAAGTCAGAATAGCAACATTAAACATTTTCCAATCTCCAGAATCCCAAGGAAACCATTTCATATTCAGAGAAAAAGGAAAAAAAAAAAAATGTAAAAGCTTACAATTAGAGCTCAAAGTTGACCAAATACGATAATGAGCCAGCATGCCAGAATCCTGGCCTATTGGCTTTACAGAGCTCCATGCCCTTCCCTATACTCTTTGTTGACTTGTAATGTTCTAGTTCTCATGCATCAACAACTTTTGTGGCAGGGTTCTCAATTCACCAACAGCCTTCCTTTCCTATGAGTACAGATTTTTAATTAAAGTTAACTTCTTTCAGTGGAAGTTAACATTTAATGAAAGAAACTGGCATGCCTCACTTTCAGAAATGAGGAAAATAAAACTCAGAGTGGTTAGGTAAATTGCCTAAGGTTACACAGCTAAATAGTGGCAGAGCAATACAGTATAAGCCCAGGCATAATGACCTCAGACCTCTTGCATTTAGATTTTGGATAATTTTTTGGTAAATAAAGAATATTTGGTAAATAAAGGTAATATTTGGTTAAAAAAAAATTGGTAAATAAAGAAGTAGAGATTTTTCTGGGCCATAAACCTAATTTGCAATCAACTTGGTTATATATATACACACACATATATATACACACACACATATATACACATACATACATATATATATATATATATTTTTTTTTTTTTTTTGAGACGGAGTCTTGCTCTGTCACCAGGCTGGAGTGCAGTAGCACGATCTCAGCTCACTGAAACCTCTGCCTCCTGGGTTCAAGTGATTCTCCTGCCTCAGCCCCAGTAACTGGGACTACAGGCGCCCGCCACTACGCCAGCTAATTTTTTTATTTTTTAGTAGAGACGGGATTTCACCATGTTGGCCAAGATGGTCTCGATCTCTCGACCTCATGATCCACCTGCCTCAGTCTCCCAAAGTGCTGGGATTACAGGCGTGAGCCACTGCATCCGGCTGGCTATACTTTTTAAAATGCTATTACATATTGGAAAGTTCTAGTTGACTGCATAATTCTCACAAGTATGAGCTACAAAGTCAAACAAATCTGGAATGGAACTCATGCTATGTCCTATTTATTAGCTGTGCAATCTTTGGAAAAGTTACCCTCTCTAAGCCACAATGTTTTCATCTGTAAAATACACATAATACCTACCTCACAAAGTTGTTGTAGAGAGTTAGATGAAATAACGTGTAAGCCACATGCAAAGTAGGCACTCAATAAAATGTCAGCTGATGTGACACTAATACTCTCTGATCCATATAAGATCCCTAAAGCTATAGCCTTCAGTCTCTGGATTTCTGACTGTAAACTGCAATTATCTTTGTTTAACACAGACACAGACCTGAAACACGTTTTTTTTTTTCTCTCTGGTTTCATTTTTGTAGAGAGGAAGTCTCCCTGTGTTACCAGAGCTGGTCTCGAACCCCTGGGGCTCAAGTGATTCTCCCTCCTTGGCCTCCCAAAGTACTTGGAACAGGTGTCATCCACTGCACCTGGCGTGAAATATGTTTCAGGAAGCAAGACTTAACCTTATCATGCTTGGTTTACTGACTTTCAACCAAGTCCTCTGTTTTTTGTCTCTTCCCTCCTTAATGATATGCCCTTCCCTGAATTTGTCCTCAGCACACTGGCACTAGACTCATATACTCCAAGAAGGAGCTTGGAGGATTTTTCTCTAAAGTAAATGACTCAAAAAACACCTACCAAAACACCGCCATTTCAGCTACCCCAACAAAAGTCCAGGTAGATAACAATTACCCGACAGGGAAGTCTACCAGTCAACAAATCTAGACCATCCAAAGAGCTTTCAATGAGCATTTTAGTGCTTTATCCTTAAATATGAATAGGCAGTCCTATATCAGAAATTTGAAGAAAGTCTCCAAAATGAAAGACACAGTAGGGGAAAAAAAGAAAGGAAAAGAACTTGATGGAAACAGATACAACATAAGAAGCAGAAGAAAATTTCAAAAATACTATAATCACCCAGGCATGGTAGTGCACATCTGCAGTCCCAGCTACTTGGAATGCTAAGGCGGGAGGATCGCTTGAGCCTAGAAATTCAAGGCTGCAATGAAATACGATTGTGCCACTGTACCTCAGCCTGGATGAGAGAAAAAGACCCTATCTTTAATTTAAAAAAATAGAAAAATACTATAATCAGTATTCTCAGAGAGCTAGGAGTCAAACATGAACCAAGAGAATAAAAACCTCTTAAAAATCATCATTTTAGCATAAATGCTACAATTGTTAGAAAATTCAGAAGAAGGTTGGTTGCAGTGGCTCATGCCTGTAATCCCAGCACTTTGGGAGGCTGAGGAGAGCGGATCACCTGAGGTCAGGAGTTCGAGACTAGCCTGGCCAACATGGCGAGACTTCGTCTCTATTAAAAGTACAAAAATTAGCCGGCATGGTGGCACACCCCTGTAATCCCAGCTACTTGGGAGGTTGATGCACGAGAATCATTTGAACCCAGGAGGTGGAGGTGGCAGTGAGCCGAGATAGCGCCACTGCACTCCAGCCTAGACAACAAGAGTGAAACTCCATCTCAAAAAAAAAGAAAAAAAGAAAATTCAGAAGAAAAAGCAAGGGAAATAAAAACAGCAAAAAAAAAATCAAAGGGAAAAAACTAAGAAAAAGGAAAAATTGGCAGATCAATCCAGATCAATTGTCTAGTTAGTGGAAGTTGTAGGAAGAGGAGGAGGGAAAAAAGATGGGGAAGAAACATTAAAGAACGAATACAAGAAAACTTCCCATATTGAAAGAGCCTATCAGATGTCGAAAACAAACGAGAAAGGCCTTTTAAAAAGTACACAGAGGGCCGGGCGCAATGGCTCATGCCTGTAATCCCAGCACATTGGGCAGATTACAAGATCAGAAGATCGAGACCATCCTGGCTAACACGGTGAAACCCTGTCTCTACTAAAAATACAAAAACAAAACTAGCCAGGCATGGTGGTAGGCACCTGTAGTCCCAGCTACTTGGGAGGTTGAGGCAGGAAAATGGTGTGAACTGGGGAGACAGAGCTTGCAGTGAGATCATGCCACTGCAATCCTGCAATCCAGCTTGGGCGACAGAGCGAGACTCCGTCTCAAAAAAAAAAAAAAGCTGGGCACAGGGGCTCATGCCTGTAATCCCAGCACTTTGGGAGGCTGAGGCAGGCAGATCACCAGGTCAGGAGATGGAGACCATCCTGGCTAACTCAGTTAAACCCCATCTCTACTAAACATACAAGAAATTAGCTGGGTGTGGTGGTGGGTATCTGTAGTCGCAGCTACTTGGGAGGCTGAGGCAGGAGAATGGTGGGAACCCAGGAGGCAGAGCTTGCAGTGAGCCGAGATCACGCCACTGCACTCCAGCCTGGGCAACGGAGCAAGACTCTGTCTCAAAAAAAAAATAAATAAAAGTATAGAGAGTTTTTACAGTACAGCACTGTAAAATTTCAAAACACCAAGGATAAAGAAAAGATTCTAAAACTTCCCCAGAGGACAGGAAAAGAGAGAGACAGAGAGAGAGAGAGAGAGAGACAATGAATCATATTAAAAAGATAAGAAATTCTTTGGGAGGCCAAGGCAGGCGGATCATGAGATCAGGAGATCAAGACCATCCTAGCTAACACAGTGAAATGCCGTCTCCACTAAAAAATACAAAAAAATTAGCCGGGCGTGGTGGCGGGTGCCTGTAGTCTCAGTTACTCAGGAGACTAAGGCAGGAGAATGGCGTGAACCTGGGAAGTGCAGCTTGCAGGGAGCCGAGATTGCGCCACTGCACTCCAGCTTGGGCAACAGAGCGAGACTCTGTCTCAAAAAAAAAAAAAAAAAAAGGCATGATACTTCCCAACTTGAACAACACTGGAAGTCGGAAGACCACCAAGGGGTGTCTTTAAATTTCTGAAAGAAAAATCTTTTCCAACCTAGAACCCTGTACTCTGACAACTATGAATCAAGTGAAAAGATAAGACATTTTCAAACATGGAAGGCCTCAAAATTTAATTGCTATTTACCTTATTTCAAGAAGCTACATGAGGCTGGGTACAGTAGCTCATACCTGTAATCCTAACACTTTGGGAGGCCAAAGAGGGCAGACCGCTTGAGCCCAGGAATTTCAGACCAGCCTGGGCAACACAGTGAAACTCCATCTCTACAAAAAAATTTTAAAAATTAGCCAGGTATGATGGCACACACCTGTAGAACCCAGCTACGTGGGATGCTGAGGTGGAAGGAGATTTCTTGAGCCTGGGAGGTCAAGGCTGCAGTGAGCCATGATCACATCACTGCACTCCAGCCTGGGCAACAGAGTGAGACTCTGCCTCAAGCAATCAAACAAAATTGATGAAAATTTTTAAAATATGGAGCTTAGGCCAGGCATGGTGGCTGACACCTGTAATCCCAGCACTTTGCCAAGACAGCAGGATTGCTTAAGGCCAGAAGTTCAAAACCAGTCTAGGTCACATAGCAAGACCCAGTCTACAAAAAAATTTTAAAATTAGCCAGGTGGCTGGGCACAGTGGCTCACGCCTATAATCCTAACACTTTGGGAAGCTGAGGCAGGCGAATCACTTGAGGTTAGGAGTTTGAAACCTGCCTGGCCAATATGGTGAAACCGTATCTGTACGAAAAATACAAAAAAAAAAAATAGCCAGGTGTGGCGGCAGGTGCCTGTAATCCCAGCTACTTGGGAAGGCTGAGGCAGGAGAAGCACTTGAACCTGGGAGGCAGAGGTTGCAGTGAGCCAAGATCACACCACTGTACTCCAGCCTGGGTGACACAGCAAGACTCCATTTCAAAAAATAAAAATAAAAAAAATTAGCCAGGTGTGGTGGCGTGCGCTATAGTCCCAGCTACTCAGGAGGCTGAGGCAGATCACTTGAGCCTAGGAATTCAAGAATAGCCTGATCATCACCGCAAGAAACCCTGTCTCTCAAAAAATAAATAGAGTCATATATTAAAATATATATTTTTTTTCTCAGTAAACTACACAAGAAAGGTCTTCTTTCATTCAACCAAAGACAGACCTGAGCTTTTTTCCATGAGTGGGAGGAGGGAGTTCCGACACAGAAGACAAAAACGATTACCCTCATAACCAACATTTCCCTACTCTAAGTAAAGATGTTATCCATGTAAACAAGAGACAAGCAACATGTAAAGAAACAAAATTTCAAGTCAGATCTTCTAGCATAATTTCATGATCTAAAATATTGTAAAACACAGCAGTTCCATCAAGTTTCCAATGAATAAGAGACAACAAGTACTCTAAAATAAAAAATACATCTATTATCTATAATAATCTTAAATATGGAAAATGATCTGGCTTCAATGCCAAAAAATGAGCAAAGAAATGTCTTACCTTGTTTAATTTCGAGCAACATGATCTAGCATTAATGTAATCACATTCTAAATCAGACAATGTAATTATCTGATGATCAAGATAAGGAATTATTATATTTCTTTTATAATAACTAAGTATTTAAGTTTCAGAAAGCAATCCCAGTTACAAGACAGAATTAAATTTGACTTGGAAAAAAATGAGTTGTTTCCTAAAGTTTGCTCATTAGACAACTCAATTTTCCCATTCATGTTCCTTCAACAAATTATTTTACAAAATAATCCCATTTTGCTCAAATCTAATCTGACCCAACCAGAACATTTAGTTTGAGTTCCTCAAAGGTAAAACAATGGCTACAAAAAAAACAAAAGGAAAATATCCCAGCACTGTGGGAAGCTGAGGCATCGCCTGAAGCAGGAGTTCAAGATCAGCATAGGCAACATAGCAAGCCTCCATCTCTGTCGCCCAGGCTGTAGTGCAGTAGCATAATTCCAACGCACTGCAACCTCCGCCTCCTGAGTTCAAGCAATTCTTGTGCCTCAGCCTCCCAAGTAGCTGGAATTATAGGTGCACGCCATCACACCCAGCTAATTTTTTGTATTTTGGGTAGACACAGGGTTTCGCTATGTTAGCCAGGCTGGTCTCGAACTCCTGGCTTCAAGTGATTCACTGGCCTCACCCCCATTTCTACATAAAAAAGTTTTTTTTTTTTAATTAGCTGGGCAAGAGCACCTGTAATGCTAGCTATTAGTAGCAGTAGTGCTAGGGCGAGGCAGCAAAATGCCAAAAGCCCAGGATTCACGTTACACTGAACTATAATCACGCCAGTGCGCTCCAGTCTGAGCAGCAGATTTGATGGGCGCTTGTAGTCCCAGCTACTTGGGAGGCTGAGGCAGGAGAATCGCTTGAACCCAGGAGGTGGAGGTAGCAGTGAGCCAAGACTGTGCCACTCCACTCCAGCCTGGGTGACACAGTGAGGCTCTGTCTCAAAAATAAACATAAAAATAAAATAAATAAAATAAAGTCAAACTCATCACTTTCTCCACAAATTGATTTTCCTCCAATTTGTTTTATATCTGTTACTGACACAAGTATCATCAGCCCAGGATCAAAATATGGAAAGCTATCTCTGCCTTCTGTTTCATATATCATAATCAATCATTTGTAGGTCCCAGCAATCATTTCTTCCAAATACTACTTACATATTCCCCCCTTTCACCTGCCCACAACCAGCACTCTATTTGAAATCCAGACGACCCTAGCCCCTGTTGGTTTATCTTCCAATCTTTCTTGTTTCCAACCCACTCTGCAAATTCATCTTCCTAATAAACTACCGAAAATAAAAATTTTCAATGGCTGTCTATTTCCTGCAGGATAAAAGTGAAAGACTTCCCTCCCACCCTTAACATTCAGGCTCTCCAAAAATCTGATGTAATCCTGCCTTTCCAATTTAGCCTTCTACTGCCACCAAAATCAACCATGTGCTCCAGATGGTCTATTTGTTAACCATCGCCCAGAAATCCACGAACATACCTGTCTCTGCACCTTCGCTATTGCCAGTGTATGATTTGGAATACTCACCTCTATCCCTTTCTGTAGATTTTGTCCACAGTTCAAAGTCCAAGAAAACTTTTATATCCTATATGAAGTCTACCCTGACCATTTTCCACCTCTTATCCCTAATACTAAGTTAGTGCAACTATCCTAAAATACAGAATATGCTGAACTTCATCAAAATACCGCCGAATGTACTTTAATGTAATGTCTAAGTCAAACATTCCACCTACCATTTCTCTACATGCATAAATTGGTGTAAACCAGGACTATTTCAAATTATCAAGCCTGGTTTTCCAAACTGCAAAAAGAAAAAACCCAGTTTCATTTCTGAGTGTAAGCTCTAGTTCAGGGGTGTCCAATCTTTTGGCTCCCCTGGGCCACACCTGAAGAAGAATTGCCTTGGGCCACATATAAAATACAGCAACACTAATGATAGCTGATAAGCTTAAAAAAAAAAAAAAAAAAAAAAAAAAAAAAAATCACCAAAAAAGAATCACAATGTTTTAAGAAAGTTTACAAATTTGTGTTGTGCCACATTCAAAGCTGTCCTGGGCCACATGCAGCCCATGCCGGGCCGTGGATTGGACAAGCTTGCTCTAGTTCCTTATATCACAAAAGGGGCATAGAGGTCATCAAAACTTAGGCAAGCGATGCTGCCCTTTCAATCAGCTCCGCAAACCTAATAAAACTCAGAAATCTTGTCGTTAGAAATCATCAAGTAAAAACTGCTGCTCAACTGGGGAGGGTGGGGACACAAAGGCAGAGCAATATTTACTGAACATTAGCTATGGGGCAGGCACTGTGCTAGGGTGCTCAGCACCATTCTCATTGTGCGTATCTAGGAAATAAACATTTCCTATTTTAAAGATCAGAAAACTGAGGCTTAGGGAAATAATGTGCACAGCAAAGAACTGGCTGAGCGGGAAACCTGATTTCCAAATTTTGTCCCCTTCCACTACAACAGGCTGCCTGCCAGTCCACAATGAAGTATGAAGCTGCACTGAACATATACTCTGTAGAACTACCCTAAAGCCCGCATGCTCTAGCAAACGGTTTAATCCTATCAGAAACGGGTACATGTGATTTTCAAGAAAGGAAGCTGAAATGCTAAGTTCCTCATACGTTTTTTCTATCTTATATTTAATTACTTAAAACTGGATTGTGCAATACAACATTGGGCAACAACTAAGCCTAGATGCTTCGTCAAGAGCTGGGAAGAGTTGTAGCCGACATGGCTACCGCAGTGCTAAATTCAACTACCATTTATTGCTCTGGAAAATACAGTTTGAATACTGCAACGTGAAGAGCTACAGAAAATACTTGTTTTAACAGGGATCGATAGAAAAATTTAAAAGCTGAGAAACGACTGGGAGCTGTTTCAGCAATAACAGCAGGTGTAATTATTGAATTTACAGATCTGCAACCACCAGGGACAACCAAAATAATCATTTTGTAGATAGTTGTTAAAATAACTCCTTTCCAACACTCACTACAAAACGGCACAGGGAAGGAAGCAACTTTGCTCATTTGGCGAATGAGTCAACTCCTGGATGTGAAAGGTCTCTGCAAGTACCAACACCCGCCAGAACAAAGGGGCGGGTACCAGGGGTGTTGCCCGGGGAAGAGGAGGAGGCAAATCGCCCGCACTCATCCCGGCACCCGACTGTCGCAAGCGACCCCCCTTAGGACCCTCAGTACCCGACGAAGAGCACGGCAAGGGGCCTCTCCCAGAGAAACGGCGACCCTTCTCTCCCGAGGGCGGCCGTGGCTTAGGCAGGGCTGGTCCCGGCGCCGCGGGGACGAGCTAAAAGCAGGCGCGCAGGCCGAACCGGGGTGCGCCCGGAGAGGCCCACGCGGACCCGGGTGAGGGGCGGCCGGCAGCCCAGGCAGGACAAGTGGGTGCAGGGCAGCAGGCGCCGTTGGGTAGGGCAGCCGGCCTCTCCTCCTCGCCCCGGGGCCCGCACCACCGCCCCGGCCAGGCCAGCTCCCAAGGAGCGCACGCCAGTCGCCGAGCGCCTCCCTCGTCCCACACACCTGCCTGGGTGCCCAACTGGCCCACCCTCAGCCCTGTCCCCCGGCAAGGCTTCCGCCCGCCTCAGGCAAGGATACGAAGTAGACCGAGAGGAAGATGAGCGCGCAACAATCGAGGAGAGAGAAGACGAACACCACCGCCTCCATCCTCCTCCTCCGTCGCCGCCGCCGCTCCTTCCGTCAAACCCGCTCGGATGCCCAGACTCGCCCCTGATAGGCCCTTGCCCCGGCTGGCTGAGGCGTGTGGTCCGCGAACCCGAGCTCAGCATGCCGGGAGTTGTAGGCCATATTTTTTTTAAAAAAATTCTAAGGCTCTAATTCTGACGCATGCTGGGAATTGTAGTTCATTAGTGCAAGTCCATATCAAAGAGGTGGGCAGGGCCTCTGTCATAAATCCGATTATTTCCGGAAATGGTGACAAGCAATTACTCAACAAGTATTTACTCAACCCTTTTCTTTTAAAGAGCTGGGGTCTCGCTCTGTCATCCAGGCTGGAGTGCAGCAGCATGATAGAGCTCACTACAATCTTGAATTCCTCCTGGGCTCAAGCAATCCTCCCACCTCAGCCTCCTGACATGCCCGGCTAATTTTATTTTATTATTTCTTATTTTATTTTATTTTTTGAGACAGGGTCTCACTCTGTCGCCCAGGCTGGAGCACAGTGGCATGGTCACAGTTCACTGCAGCCTCTACTTCCTGGCCTCAGGTGATCCTCCCACCTCAGCCTCCTGAGTACCTGGGATTACAGTAACATACCACCATGCCTGGCTAATTTTTTGTATTTTTAATAGAGATGGGGTTTTTGCCATGTTGGCCAGCTGGTCTCAAACTCCTGGGCTTAAGCAATCTGCCTGCCTCAGTCCACAGTGCTGGGATTACAGGCCTGAGCCCCTGCACCAGTCTCTACTGAATGCTTTTAATCTGGATATCCAGTAGGATGTATTTCTCATGTGTGAAATTTTCTTTAGAGTTGGCTCTAGAACCACTGCATTCCCTGACTTGGGATTTGTAAAGGGTTTTCATCTCAAAGCACAGATCTAACTAACCTGATGCTCCTGGCTTGACATTTGTGATTTTCCCTTCCTTTCCTGATCTCAATTTCTCCAGAGATTTCACAGTCCTTTGTTTATTCTCTCCCACAGCAATGTTTCTCTCCTCTCTAGATTTTAAGATCTTTAAAAGCGAATACAATGTCTTACTCATCCATTCATTCATTTAACAAATACAGTAGTAAGGGAGAAGACCACCCCTCATATTGTCTTATGCCCAATTTCTTCCTCCAGAGAAAGAAGAAGTAAAAACTAAAAGGCAGAAATGAAACCCACAGGCAGACAGCCTGGTGCCATGTCCTGGGCCTAGTAGTTAAAGAGCGACCCCTGACCTAACCAGTTATGTTATCTGTAGATTGCAGACATTGTATAGAAAAGTATTGTAAAAATCCCTGACCTGTTCTGTTCCGTTCTGATTACCGTTGCATGCAGCCCCCAGTCACGTACCCCCTGCCTGTTCAATCGATCACGACCCTCTCACATGGACCCTCTTACAGTTGTGAGCCCTTAAGAGGGACAGGAATTGCTCACTCGGGGAGCTTGGCTCTTGAGACAGGAGTCTTGCCGATGCTCCCAGCTGAATAAACCCCTTCCTTCTTTAACTTGGTGTCTGAGGGGTTTTGTCTGCGGCCCGTCCTGCTACATTTCTTGGTTCCCTGACCAGGAAGCAAGGTGATTGGCAGATGGTCAAGGCAGCTCCTTAGGCAGCTTAAGCCTGCCCTGTGGAACATCTCTGCGGGGGACTCCAACCAGCACTAGCGACACGGATCCTGAGAGCACTCCCGGATAGGCATTTGCCCCGGTGGGAGCAGTGTGTGGCAGGCCCCTGTGGAGGATCAACGCAGTGGCTGAACACTGGGAAGGAATGGGCAGTTGGAGTATGGACATCTAAAACTTGGTAAAACTGGTCTTTGGAACTTGCCTACTCCATTTGAGTGGAAGCGTGGCCTTATCACCCATGGTGTGCCTTTATTAGCACTTTGGTTTTGGTTTTGGTTTTGACTTGGTTTGAATTGCTTGATACGACTAGTCTTCGGAACTTGCCTACTCCATTTGAGTGGAAGCATGGCCTGATCACCCATGCTTCATCCACAGGCAGACAGCCCAGCACAGGCAAAAGTATGCCTGTACTGGCACTTTGGTTTTTATTTTTGACTTGACTTGGATTTCTTGATACTTTGGTTTTGGTTTTGACCTGGCTTGGATTTCTTGATACTCTGATTTTGGTTTTGATTATGGTATGGCGTAAACTGTAAAAGTGTGTGTGTGCCCTTCTTACCCATTCTTTGTTTTGTTGTGTGCGTGTGGTGTGAGCGTGGCATTTTGTCTCAAGGAAACATGGGTGAGGCACAAGGTAAGCCCACCCCACTAGGAACTATGTTGAAAAATTTCAAAAAGAGATTTAAGGAAGACTATGGAGTTACTATGACACCAGGAAACCTTAGAACTTTATGTAAAATAGACTGGCCAGCATTAGAGGTGGGTTGGCCATCAGAAGGAAGCCTGGACAGGTCCCTTGTTTCAAAGGTATGGCACAAAGTAACCTGTAAAGCCAGGGCACCTAGACCAGTTCTCATACATAGACACTTGGTTACAGCTTGTTTTAGATCCCTCCACAGTGGTTGAGAGAACTGCAGCATAAGCGGCTGGCAGAGGCAGAGAGAGAGAGAGACAGAGAGGAAAGAGAGAGAGGCAAAGAGGAGAGAGAGAGAGAGAGACAAAGAGGAAAGAGAGAGGTGGAGAGAAGAGAGAGAAAGGCGGGGGTGGGGCAGAGAGGGGTGCAGAGGCAGAGAGGGGCCAAATGAGGCCACTGACAACCTGTAGCCTTCTATCAAAAATCCTTATTTCAGTAATCCACGGATGGCCCAAATATATTCAACCTGTAGCAGCAACTGCTTTGCTAACAGAAGAAAGTAGAAAAATAACTTTCAGAGGAAACCTCATTGTAAGCACACCTCACTAGTTCAGTTCAGAACTATCCGAAAGCGAAAAAGCAAAAAAGTAGCTTACTAACTCAAAAATCTTAAAGTAATCTTACGTTAGAAATAATCTTAATGTTAGGGAAAAAAAGGAGGGGAGAATTTATATAAAGAGGAATGTTACATGGTAAATTATTGTCCTAAAAGAGGGGAGAATTTTGGTTTAAAAATTAATAAAAATAGGTGCTAAAGGAAATTTCTAAGTAAAAAGGCACTAAGGACTGTAAAGTCCACTGCCAAGGTCCCCACATTTAAAACAAAAGGTCAATTTCTTAAAAATTATACACTTGGTTTATCTTCCACTTTCCTTTCCCTCAAAAACTATAAGTCTTTTAGCACATGTACCACCCCGAGAACTTCTGATAAACCAGCACCAGCCTGAAGATCACATACTCATCAAAGGGTGGAAAGAAGAAAAACTCGAGCCAGCCTTGGGAGGACCCTACCTTGTGCTGCTAACCACCAAGACTGCTGTTCCTACAGCAAAAAAGGACGGACTCATCATACCCACTCAGAAAGTGCCACCCACTCCAGAGTCGTGGGCCATAGTACCAGGGGAAAACCCTACCAAACTAAAGCTAAGAAAAATTTAACTCTTTTCATCTATTCTATTACTCTCTTTTCTTTCCTCGTTCTATTGTTGACCATCTAGTTATTAACATAACCAAGTCAATTTTGCCCAAACTATTGCATTTAATGCTTGCCTTCTTATACTCTGTGGAGATTGCCAAGTCAAAGACAGCTTTCTACTTCAGAAAAGTACTTCTGTCCCTCCTGACTCTCTTCAGACTGGGCATTAGTAAACTAGGACCATTTAATCGGGGGAGATTTTGATAAAGACCCCAGTGCCAACCAGGAGTGTTGCCCCCCAATGTAAAGCTTTCATGCCATAGTTGGTCCAATGTTCTGTGGACCACTGAAGAGCAAGGATGGACTGCCCCGAACAGTTTTGGTACTTTCCTAAAACCATACATTCATTTTACTAGAGGATCATCAAAGTTAAAGACTTAAACAAAAAAGACTTCAAACAAACTTTAAGTTAAAGACTTAAAACAAACAATTAAGACAGGACACCAAGATGCAAATGCCTGGTTAAAATGGATCAAATATTCCATCTGCGCATTAAACAAAAGCAATTGTTATACTTGTGTACATGGCAGGCCAGAGGCCCAGATTGTCCCCTTCCACTAAGGTGATCCTCCAGTCGACCAGGCGTAGGCTGCATGGTAGCTCTTTTCCAGGATTCTACAGCCTGGAGTAATAAGTCATGCCAAGCTCTCTCTGCTATTTCCCAAAGTCTGGCACCCTGTAGTTCAGCCCCCAAGGGCCATCCAGCTTCCGTCTCCCAACACTAAGTTCACTTTGTCCCTCTCACGACAGGAAGGAAACTTAGCATTCCTTGGAGACCTGAAGGAATGTGATGAGCTTAAGTATTTTCAAGAGCTTATCAATCAGTCAGCCCTCGTTCATCCCCAAGCGGACATGTGGTGGTTGTGGTGGACCTTTACTGGGCACTCTGCTGAGTAACTGGCGTGGCACTTGTGTTTTAGTTCATTTGGCTATCCCTTTCACCCTGGCATTTTATCAACCAAAGGGAATAAAAATAAGACATTGTAAAGCTAGAGAAGCCCCTTATGGGTCTTTTGACTCTCACATCTATTTAGATGCAATTGGAGCCCCGCAAGGAATACCAGATCAATTTAAAGCTTGAAATCAAATAGCTACAGGATTTAAGTCAATATTTTAGTGGGTGACAGTTAATAAAAATGTAGATTGGATAAACTACATCTATTACAACCAACAGCAACGAGTTTTTCATGAGTTTAAAGAAAAACTCAGGTCGGCCCCAGCCCTGGGGCTACCAGACCTGACAAAACTTTACATTCTATGTGTCAGAAAGAGAAAAAATGGCAGTTGGAGTTTTAACCGGGGCCCTGGCCAAGGCCAGTGGCCTATCTCTCAAAACAACTAGACAGGGTTTCCAAAGCCTGGCCCCCATGTCTAAGGGCCCTGGCAGCAATGGCCCTGTTAGCACAAGAAGCAGATAAGTTAACTCTTGGGCAAAACCTAAACATAAAGTCCCCCCAGGCAGTGGTGACTTCAATAAATACCAAAGGACATCATTAGCTAACGAATGCTAGACTAACTAGATACCAAAGCTTGCTCTGTGAAAATCCCCGCATAACCATTAAAGTTTGCAACACCCTAAACCCCGCCACCTTGCC